GTCTGGATAATAGTCTAGTTTATAGGCTGCACAATAGTCTAGTCTATAGTCTGCTCAATAGTCTACTCTATAGTTTGGACAATAGACTTTTATATAGTCTGGACAATAGTCTAGTCTGTAGTCTAAAAAATAGTCTAGTCTATAGTCTGGACAATAGTTTTCTCTAGTTTAGTCTATAGTCTGAACATTAGTCTATTCTATAGTTTGGACTATAATCTAGAAAATAGTTTAATCTAGTGTGGACAATAGTCTATTATCTGAAGAATAGTTTAGTCTATAGTCTGGTCTATAGTCTAGTCTAGTTTATAGCCCATAATGTAATCTACAGTCTAAACAATAGTCTAGTCTATAGTCTAATCTGCAGTGTGGTCAATAGTCTATAGTCTTAACAAAAGTTTAAACTATTTCATAGTTAATAGTCTGAACAATAGTCTAGTCTATTGTCTAATTAATAGTTTAGTCTATAGTCTTTATAATAGTCCAGTCTATAGTCTAGCTTTTACTCTAGTTTATAGACTACAGAATAGACAATTGTCTTGTTCATGGTTGAAATAATAGAATTTTTAAACAAATAACTGTAAAAGTTTTTAAAACTGATAATTTTTCTTTTAAATTATAACACAATTTATCAAAATTTTAAAATTAATTAAAATTTAAAGCATTTAAAAAAAATACTTTTGATATAATTTAAACAAAATTATAATTTATACTGATTTGTTCTTTTGCCCTTATTTGTTTTTCTGTGTCTTTTTGTTTTGTTCTTTCATACGCTATTGTTTATGTTTATAATGATTAATAGTGTTAGGTTTTGTTTGTTTTCCTTTTCTTTTTATATATATATAATAAGTATTTATGTATATATAAATATAATTCTATATAAATATGAATATATATTGATTTCTTATATACTAAATACAGTTTAGTACATGGTTTACTTTTTTTTATATATATAATTATTTGTTATTTATTATTATTATTAATAAATGTATAATAATATTTGTCATTAATAGATTTATATAATTTGTTCCTAAAAATGATTCAAATATTTATTTAAATATTTTCTTTTTTTTTCAAATAGGAATACTTTCGAGCCTGAACTTGTTTGCATTGTTTTTTTATTTATTTTTTTATATTTAGTTAATATTTAAAAAGTTTAAACAAATGAAATTAACAAAAATTCATGCAAAAAAGTAAATAATTGTTAAGAGTATAAAAATTTTAAAATAAAACACAAATTTTAAATTGATTTTTAAAGAAAAAAACTTAAAATTTGTTTTTATTTTTTTTGGAAAAAAAAACATTACAAGAAGTTTTTGTTTTTTAAAACCCTGATTTTGGATCTAAGTTTTAAACAAATTTTGTTTGCCTCTCATACAGGGTTATAAAATATTTTCTGTCGTTAGTTTTTTAATCAGGGTTTTAATAAAAATATGTTTTTTTATAAACAAAACAAAAAAGTTTTTGTAATATTTATTTTTTTAATAAAAATATTTAAATCTTTTGCATAAATTTTATGAAATTGTTGTATTAAATCAAGCTTGGTTTTGTGTGTAGTTGTGTTTTTTATATTATTATTAATGTTTTTGTATGGAATTATTTACATTTCTTTTTCTAAAAAAAAGTTAAAACAAACTTTATTTACAACAACCAGAATTTAAAGATTTTAATGTTTAATTACTGGTAGAATTTTGAGGTTATAAATAAATTAAATATTATAAACATATTGTGTCAGCTTTCAAAGTAAGGATGGTTAGGTTTTCTTTAAAATGTGAACAAAATATTTGGTTTATGTTAAAATTGTGAAAAAACTACATACAACTTTTAATTATTTTAAACATGTTTATGAAAAGTTCTAGTGGTTTACTCGAGTAAGAAAATATTAAACAAATTATCCATTAAGAACTTGTAACCTAAGCAGAGCCTTAAGATTCCCTAGATATTCATCCGCGGGATGTTTTGTTATTCGTTTTGAACAATTCTTTTAAAATTGCCTTCTTAATACACTATCCTTCGATTTTTCGATTCATATTTTTATTGCCAATAAATACTGTCCATTTTATGACATTTCCGCTTTTGTTCCTAACACCAAAATATTTGCTTTCGCAGATGCTCCTTGAAACTACTGCTCATAATATTTATATTATGTTTGCCTTCGAAATAAGTTGCAATACCCCCGGAAGAGTTTAGTTACAACGTATTTCGATTTGATATAAACAGGTGGTACTGAATACAAAGGTGACATCACTAGCCCAGCTGATCATTGTTTACAATTGTTTATGCATAGACCTGTATACAGGCTTAAACCGCACGTTTGTCAAACTCCATATAAAGAAATTTCACAATCGTGCGGTTGCTCTCTAATGCTGGTACCTTGTCAGGTACACCGTGGATAGAAACTACTTTTGAAAACAAATTTCGATATCGTACAGAAAAATCGCGATAATTTTTACTATTTTATAGCGATAAGAATGAAAAAAAAAACGCTGACTATTAACATTTTTACATGGATGAAACATTAAAGTTTCTTTACGCAACTCATGAGGATATAATCAGGATAATAGTTTAGTCTTTAGTCTGGACAATAGTTAATACTATAATCCGCATAATAGCAAAGTATATAGTCTGGCCAATAGTTTAGACTATAGTCTGGATAAAAGTCTAGTTTATAGTTGGGCAATAGTTTAGTCTATAGTCTGGATAGTGTATAGTCTCGACAATAGTCTAGTCTGTATTCCGGACAATAGTCTAGTATGTATTCTGGACAAGAGTTTAGTCTATGGTCTAGAAAATGGTTTAATCTATTAACTAGACAATAGTCTAGTTTATAATCTGAATAACACCTTAATCTATAATCTACTTGATAGACTAGTTTTGAGTCTGAACAATAGTTTGGTCTATAGTCTAGACAATAGTTTAGTCTGTGTTCTGGACAATAATTTAGTATGTAGTTTGGCCTGTAGTTTAGATCATAGTCTAAATAATAGCTTATTCTATAGTCTGGACAATAGTATAGTCTATTGCCTGGATAATAGTTTAATCTATAGACTGAACAATAACTTTGTCTTTAAACTGGACAATAGTTTAGACTATTGCCTAGATAATAGTCTAGTCTATAATCGTGTCAATAGACTAGTCTATAATTTGAACACATATTTAGTTTATAGTTGGAACAACAGTCTAGTATATAGTATGTATAATTATTCGCCTATAGTCTAGGCAATAGCCCAGTCTATAGTCCAGTTTAGTCTATTGCTTAGATAATAGTATAGACTAGTCTTGGCAATAGACTATTCTATTATTTGAACAAAAGTTTAGTTTATAGCCGGTACAACAGTCTAGTATAACGTCTCGATAATTGCCCAGTCTGGACAATAGTTTAACCTTTAGTCAGGTGAATAGTCTATTCTATTGTCTGGATAATAGTTTAGTCTATTGTTTAGATAATGTTGTACTCTACTCTATAGTGTGGATAATAGTTTAGTCTCCAGTCCATAGTCTGGACAATAGTCTATAATCTAGATAATAGTTTATTCTATAGTCTGGGTAATAGAAACAAATACTAACTACAAAGTTATAACCAAATATAAGAAAGATTTAAGCAAATTTCACAACTACTTGGAGCACTAATTCTTTAAAAATTTCAAATTTTAAATAAAAAATTTCAAAAAAACTAATTTCTTTTTTTTTTTCTTTTTGTTTGAAATTTTATTTTAAAATCTTACAAGATTTAACATTCTTTTTTTCATAACTCGGACAATGATCTAAAAAAAAAGTATTAAAACCATTAAATAGAGCATTTTGTTGTAATGTAATAAGAAAAATATCGAAACTTTTTTAACATAAACCAAATATTTTTATAGTTTTTTTTAAAGCAAAGCTTAAAAACAAACAAAATAAAGGGGAGATTGATGATTGATGTTCATACGTACTTGGTACATAAAATTAAATATTTTGGAGAAATAATTTTGTTGTTGTTCAATATATTGCTGTATTTTATTCTAAAATTACTATTTTTACTTAAATATTTATTTTGTTTTTTTTTTTCAAAATTGTTATAGAATTATACATTATACAATATATGTATTTGATTGTTGGGTTTTTAAAGTGTTGCTTTTGCTTAGCATTTTGTTTTGTTTTGTTTGTTTTTGGGTTTTAAACTTTATAGTAGTAAAGAAGAAGAAGAAGTGTTTGAATTATGAAAAATTAAATTATTGTAGTTGTTGTGTTTAATGGCAAATTTGTAGTAATTAAAGTAAGAAAAATAAACTAAAACAAAATAAATGGAATTAATAATCGGTACAGGCAACTAAGTTTTGTTGTTTATATTTGTATTTTTATCTTTTATTTGTTTTAAATTTAAATTTAAAGTTAAAAATAAAAAAACTTCATATTTTTCTTAGTTTAGAGAAAAAATATATATATATATATAATTAATTAATTAATGAATGAATTCAAAAAAAGTTTTTTTTTGGGGGGAAGAGGTTTAAACTTAAAATTCACTTTTAAATTAAATAATGAAAGGGAAGAGGGGGTTGGTTTGCTTTTATATAATTCTGTTGTTCAAAATTTTGTTAGGTAGTGAAGGACGTAGGGGGTTTTATCAATTAAAAAAAAAATATATATATAAAAATTATATTAATAAAAAAATCAATTACTTGAGGTAATTTGCAAAAAAAAAAAAAAAATTGTAGAAAAAAATTACACAGTAATTTTCTTTGTTGTTTTGTTTGTATGAGTTTGTTTTTTGTTTAAATTATTACAAAAAAATAAAACAAAATTTTCTTAATTTATAATGAAAATAAATTTGTTTTGTTTCTGTATTTAATTTAAATGAAAAAAAAAGTAGTTTTAATAATGCTGTATTTTATATATTAAGAGAATTATTTATATTAATTATAATAAACATCATAATAATATTGTAAGAAAAGTGAGAGTTAAAGAAGTAAGAAAGCAAGAAAGAGAGAGAGAGTATGGTTGAAAATTTCGTTTTGTTGTTGTAGTTTGAGTTAATTTTACGCTTACAGGGTAAAAAATTTCTAAAAAAAAAGGAAAACATTTCAATAAAAAAAATATTCAAATTTTAACTTAAAAAAGGAGGAGGGGGAGCACAAAAAGGTTTTTTTTTAGCAAACGGAATTAGTGAATTTCTTATTTTTGTTGTATGTGTGTAATCTTTTTGTTGTTGTTGTTTTAGTTTTTGTATATCTCATAAGCAACATTTTGGGCATATTAATATTTGTTTTTGTTGTTGTTGTTTTTGTTTTAAATCTATTGATTTTCATCATCGTCACCCTCGCCATCGTCATCATCATGCTCATCATGATGTTGAGCTGCTTGCTGGGCTGCCTGTTGTTGAGCAGCCACTGCCAGTAAGGCCGCCTTTTGCGCCGCTTGCTGTTGTGCTTGCATAGAGGGGGCGGACATAGCAATTTTCCCACTTGTTTTATATTCGGTCATTTCCTATTAAAAAACAAAAGAAAACATTAAAATTTATTTAAAACCAAACACTTCCTGCCACAAACTTACTCTTTCATATCTGGCCTTATCCTTTTCAGCCATTAATTCATATTTCTGTTTAACCTCCGGCTCTACATCGGCCCATTTACGTCCCAGCTCTTTAGCAATATCGCCTACACCATATTCGGGATTAAGAGCTTTAACTTTATTACGTTCATCATTACAAAACCAAAAGAAGGCAGATCTGCAATTGCGTAAAAAAGAGAATTTTAAATTATTTATTTTTCTTCACTCTTCAAATATAAAAAACTACAAATTTTTTCTAAAAAGATTGTTTTCTACGAACTCACAATGATCGTTTCGGCGCATTGGGATCTTTCATTTGTTTCCTTTTCTTGCCGCGTCCCACTACGGTACCCTTGGGTGGTACATAATTTTGCATTTCCAATTCATAACGAGCTTTGTCTTTTTCAGCCATTTCGTGGAAGCGTTTCTTTTCCTTGTCAACCATTGTCTGAAAATAAATAAAAGAAAATGGGAAAACAATTCATTAACAAAAATCTAATTAAAAAGAAAGTTTTAAAATTTCTTAAAATTTCAACAAAAATTAAAAAAAATTTCAAAATTTTTATAAATTCTTATGAATTCTTCGCCATAAAGTCGGAAAATCCACAAATCTTTAAAAAGTCTTGTTTAACTTAAATTTCCCTCAAAAGGATTTTTATTAGGGAAATTTCCAAAATTTTGCCGAATCCTGATTCTTCGTTATAAAGTTGACAAATCCTAAAATCTTGTTTCAATAAAATTTCCCTTAAAAGGAAATTTTTGAAAATAAGGGAAATTTTCAAAATTTTGCTGAAGTCTTGATTATTCTTCGCCGTGAAGATGAAAAAGCCAAAAATCTTGTATATATCTTGCTTAATAAAAATTTCCCTTAAAGGAAATTTTTTCAAAATAAGGGAAATTTTCAAAATTTTACTGAATTCTGGTTTATTCTTCACCATAGAGTTAAAAAATCCAAAAATCTTTTCAAAATCTTGTTTAACAAAAATTTCCCTTTAAGGGAAATTTTTCAAAATAAGGGAAATTTTCAAAATTTTACGAAATTCTTGGTTATTCTTCGCCATAAAGTTAAAAACTTCAAAAGTTTTTTAAAAATCTTTCATAAATAAAATTTCCCTTTAAGGGAAATTTTTCAAATTAAGGGAAATTTTCAAAATTTTACCGAATTCTGGTTTATTCTTCGCCATAAAGTTAAAAAATCTAAAAATCTTTTCAAAATCTTCTTTAATTAAAATTTCCCTCAAAGGGAAATTTTTCAAAATAAGGGAAATTTTCAAAATTTTGCGGAATTCTTGCTTACTTTTCGCCATAAAGTTGAAAAATCCAAAAAAATTTTCAAAATCTTGTTTAATTAAAATTTCCCTCAAAGGGAAATTTTTCAAACTAAGGGATATTTTCAAAATTTTACCGAATTCTGGTTTATTCTTCGCCATAAAGTTAAAAAATCCAAAAATCTTTTCAAAATCTTCTTTAATTAAAATTTCCCTTAAAGGGAAATTTTTCAAAATAAGGGAAATTTTCAAAATTTTGCGGAATTCTTGCTTATTTTTCGCCATAAAGTTGAAAAATCAAAAAAAAAATTCAAAATCTTGTTTAATTAAAATTTCCCTTAAAGGGAAATTTTTCAAACTAAGGGATATTTTCAAAATTTTACCAAATTCTGGTTTATTCTTCGCCATAAAGTTAAAAAATCCAAAAATCTTTTCAAAATCTTCTTTAATTAAAATTTCCCTCAAAGGGAAATTTTTCAAATTAAGGGAAATTTTCAAAATTTTGCGGAATTCTTGCTTATTTTTCGCCATTAAGTTGAAAAATCCAAAAAAATTTTCTTGTTTAATTAAAATTTTCCTTAAAAGGAAATTTTTCAAATTAAGGGATATTTTCAAAATTTTATCGAATTCTCTTTTTTATTCGTCTTAAATATGAAAAATACAAAAATCTCTTAAAAATCTTAAAATTTCCCCTAAAGGGACATTTTTCAAACTAAGGGAAATTTTCATACATATTGACAAATTCTGGCCATAAAATTTTAAAATCCTGCTTAAAAATAATTTCACTTAAAGGGAAATTTTCAAAATTTTACAAAATTAAACATTTTTTAAAAATTGAAATATATTTTAAACAAAATTAAATCTAAATTTTATGTGAAATACAAAAAAAAAAATGATTTGTTTCTGTTTAATTAAATGAAATTATTGAGAAATTTTATCATAACCTTTAAAACCTCTCCAAAAGTCTGTCTCCTAAAGACCCTGATACCAATTGTTTAAAATTCCTTAAAGGATCAAAGAAAATAAGCAAATGCTTTAATTTAAGTTTCATAGAGAAATTCTACATTTTTAAATTTTAAATTTACAACAAAAAAAACCAACAGACGACCAAAGCAAATCTATCCCGGATAATAATAAAAAACAAATAGTTTAAATTAAATTAATTTCCTAAGAAAATAAAATGAAAAAAGAACAGAATAAAGCAAAAATTAAAATAATAAAAATATAAAAAAAAAAAAACTAAAAACACATTTAAGTTTTGATGGGCACCAAACCAACAACAAAAACAAAGAAATGAAAAATAAACTACGACGTAAAATACAAGAATACCAATTAATTTAACGCCCAACTCCCCAGATTTAATAAAATTTTATAACGTTCTTACTTTTTTGTGTTTTCCTTTCAACTTTACACTCACAGACACTCTCTTCCTTACAATTTTGTTTTAAAATTCAGTATTCAGTGTAGGGAAGGACACACAACTGCTGTCGTACTCATTTATATACAAAAAATGAGGAAAAAACCAAACACATACACACACTAACTCAACAACATTCACAGTAATGTTAGTCGTCGTCTCAGTGTTTTTAATCTCCTAACGGGAACAGGGGAATACAAAAATTGGAAGTAGGGAAGGTAAAAGATGGGGGCAGGCAGCACCAGCAGTGTCAGCCTGGCACAAATGGCAGTAATGCAAACAACAACAAAAATAATAACACAAGAGAGGGATTATTGCCGTCATATTATTTGTAAAAAAAAGTATGAAAAAAATCAGGCTTTAAAAATACTTTTTAAAGTTGCCCATAGGTTGGCGAATAAAAAAACCTAAAGAATCTTTTGAATCCCTGATCTAAACAAAAACTGAACTAGAACTGAACTAGAACTGAACTAGAACTGAACTAGAACTAGAACTAGAACTGAACTAGAACTAGAACTGAACTAGAACTGAACTAGAACTGAACTAGAACTGAACTAGAACTGAACTAGAACTGAACTAGAACTGAACTAGAACTGAACTAGAACTGAACTAGAACTGAACTAGAACTGAACTAGAACTGAACTAGAACTGAACTAGAACTGAACTAGAACTGAACTAGAGCTGAACTAGAACTGAACTAGAACTGAACTAGAACTGAACTAGAACTGAACTAGAACTGAACTAGAACTGAACTAGAACTGAACTAGAACTGAACTAGAACTGAACTAGAACTGAACTAGAACTGAACTAGAACTGAACTAGAACTGAACTAGAACTGAACTAGAACTGAACTAGAACTGAACTAGAACTGAACTAGAACTGAACTAGAACTGAACTAGAACTGAACTAGAACTGAACTAGAACTGAACTAGAACTGAACTAGAACTGAACTAGAACTGAACTAGAACTGAACTAGAACTGAACTAGAACTGAACTAGAACTGAACTAGAACTGAACTAGAACTGATCTAGAACTGAACTAGAACTGAACTAGAACTGAACTAGAACTGAACTAGAACTGAACTAGAACTGAACTAGAACTGAACTAGAACTGAACTAGAACTGAACTAGAACTGAACTAGAATTGAGCTAGAACTAAAACTGAACTAGAACTGAAATAAAACTGAACTAGAACTCAAATAGAACTGAACCAAAATGGATGGAAATTTTAAACTTCAACAATTTAGAGAAATAATATTCCAAATTTTTAAACTCTTTAAACTAAAAAATGTTCGAATCTATTTTTAGTTTGGCATCTCACTTTAATAGTTATTTTGTATGCCAAAAATGGCATAGAAAAACACAGTTCAGCAGCTTGGATAAATTGCTTGTGAGCCCTTCGTGAACTTTTGCACACAAAATTTATATATAGAGAAAAAGGAAACATGACACACACTCACACAACCCTTATTACTTTTCTGGTTAAAATCCCCACTCCCCCTCTCTCTACTCATTCCACCCATTTTTCAACGAAACGTATACCACCTCTTTTTTTATACTGGCAACAACAACAACCAACATAATTTATTTAATCACGCCTGAGCTGTTCAAGGCACCAACGAACTGAACTGAATTCGAGAACACAGCACAGAACAGAATATAACGTACGTACACAGTAAAAATAGTTGATGATGATAATGATGTTGAACATCATGAAGATGTTGATTGTTGGAAGGCAAAAAGAAAAAAAAAATAAAGTGTTTTTCTGCACAACACTTGGAGCGGTAGAGTTCTACCGAAACTAAAACGTAAATAATATTTATTCTAATCAAAAATGGTTGCTGTAATAGTTCGGTTGTTGATTAGATATCTAGAACTAAACTAAAAAGAACTGAGAGCCAACTAAACGCGAATCATCTAATCAGATAAGAACTGATCTAAAACTGATGCAGAAATGAAGCAAAATTGGAACTAAATTGATTCACGACCTAAACCTAAATAAGAACTGATGTAGAACTAAACAACGCAATTAGAATTAAACTAGGACTGAACTAGAACTCAACTAAAATTGAACTAGAACTGAACTAGAACTGAACTAATCTAAATTAGAACTGAATTAGAACTGAATTAGAACTGAATTAGAACTGAATTAGAACTGAATTAGAACTGAACTAGAACTGAACTAGAACTGAACTAGAACTGAACTAGAACTGAACTAGAACTGAACTAGAACTGAACTAGAACTGAACTAGAACTGAACTAGAACTGAAATAGAACTGAACTAGAACTGAACTAGAACTGAACTAGAACTGAACTAGAACTGAACTGAACTAGAACTGAACTAGAACTGAACTAGAACTGAACTAGAACTGAACTAGAACTGAACTAGAACTGAACTACAACTAGAACTGAACTACAACTAGAACTGAACTAGAACTGAAATAGAACTAGAACTGAACTAGAGCTGAACTAGAGCTGAACTAGAACTAAACTAGAACTAAACTAGAACTGAACTAGAACTGAACTAGAACTGAACTAGATAGAATTGAACTAGAACTGAACTCGAACTGAACTAGAACTGAACTAGAACTGAACTAGACTGAACTAGAACTGAACTAGAACTGAACTAGAACTGAACTAGAACTGAACTAGAACTGAACTAGAACTGAACTAGAACTGAACTAGAACTGAACTAGAACTGAACTAGAACTGAACTAGAACTGAACTAGAACTGAACTAGAACTGAACTAGAACTGAACTAGAA